TTTTGTTGAACAGGCGCTGGTTTACACAGCTTGCCTAACACAGCTGTCACAAGATATGGAACGGCACAGCCGGTTACTGCAATAACCGAGGCTGTACTACTCATGTGGTACACACACAGCTTCGCTGTGTACGCACTGCTTCTCTGTGCGACTGTGCATCCTGGGAATGTACTGTATAGTACTACGTAGCCACAGATGTACAGTAGTATATATAGGGGGACCTCTGTACCCCCAATCTACAGTTCAGTTCACTTGAACATCTCCTCTCATCGCTCTTACAAGCCTCTTACAATCAACCAACACTTCTAGGTGAGTTGCAGGCTATCCGCTGTCGTTGCCATCCGTGGGAGAGGCCTTCGCCCCCCAGGTTCAACAGGTTATGAGCCCTGCTCGACGCTGCAGAATCTGCGCCGCTCATTGCGTGCTGCGATCTGTAAGCTCGCAGCTCACCTGGATCTTTTGCCATCGTTATCGATGTGCAACCGCTGCTTGGATCTGGCGCAATCATACGCTGCCTGCCATGCATGCGCTGTGGACTGTTGTGGCGCGCTTCGTCGCTGCCTACAGTGCCACAGAGAGGTAACCTATGTCGGCATGATCTCTCTCTGCCTCGACTACGTTCTTTGAAGGCGTGTGGCTGACAAGTCTCCCTTCTAGAACCATACCTCTCGACAATATGTCTGGTGCTCTCTACAGTGCTGTCCCTACCACCTTCGACGGCCGCAACTACCTCGAGTGGGCGCAGCAGATGAAGTCGTACCTCAAGGCGCAAGGCCAGTGGGGTTCGATCATCAACACCCAGCCTACCGACGCCGATGAGGCAAAGGCCTGGCTCGATGCCGACCTCAAGGCCCAAGGCAACATCAGCCTTCGCCTTGCCCCCAGCGTTAACAGCGCTGTGTCGTCTCAGACGACAGCCAAGGGGATCTGGGACTACCTCGAGACCACCTACGGCAAGCCTGGCGTGCCGGCTGTCTACCAAGACTTCCGGGCTGCCCTTGCTCTCTCCATTCCGGCCGACTCGAACCCTGTCCCCAACCTGGACAAGTTCGAGGCGTACTTCCAACGTCTCGAGACGAACAAGTTCGTCGTTGCCGACCACGTCAAGGGTATGATGCTCATGGCGAAGCTCCCTTCCAACATGGATCCGATGATCCAGCTCTACATCGC